TGGTACTTATTTTTGTACAACTTAGCATAATTTGGACTAATAGTGTTTATGCACACACTGATCACTTTCATTACTAAATTTTAATTGTCATATTTCAAAATATAAGGATTAATGCTACAAATATTTGAAATTTAAGAGGGACTTGAAGCAACAACCCCCAAAAAAAAAACTATGGGGACTAATATGAAAACACAATAATAGTATAGGCATAACAAACAATTATATTTTCTCAATCAATTAATGAAATTTATATTTATTTTAATATAATTTATGTTTATGAATTTAATATTTTGTAAAACATTTATGTAAATATAATCATAAAATTATTTAAAATGAGAGAGGACAATTAAATTATGGGTGCAACTTAATAATTTTAATTTCTTTCATATTATTTAATTAATATAATTAGACATATTAAAATTTTAAATTAAATATTATTAACAGCATTAAAAATTAAATTCAATGCAGATTTTGAAATAAAAAATGACTCTATCTCTATGTAATCTTAACAAACTTCGAGAGAAGTAATTGTATTATATTCTACAAAATATGTGCACTTAATAAATGTAAAGTATTTTTTGAGGAGGATGACAGTTAAATCTTAAAAGAATGAATTAATAACAGTTAATTTTTGACAAACTTTATAAGTTAAAAATATTGATCCAACTTTCAATTGCAAATGAGTATTTAAATATTAAATATAATTTTTAGATTGTAACAGAAATTTTTGTTTGTACCTATTTAAATTAATATTTATAATTTATTTTGTAAAAAATTTTATTGAGAACCTAACTATCATTAATTTATTTTTTTGGGACCTGAATGTCATTCTCCCTTTTTTTTTTGATAAAGTGCATGCTTTTTTTTTCACATTATATTGGTACATACTAATTAAGAATTATATCATGCGTTTATTGGTATAAAAAATATACTCCGTTCAACCCTTATTATAGGAGATATTCAATTACTTTATTGAAATTAATTTATTTTGTAAAAAATTTTAAATTTACAATTATTAAAAATAGGAGAGAGAAATATACAGTATAAAATGAGCCATAAAATTAAATTTACAATAACGGTAAAATTAGAAAATGATGCTCCCTCACACAATTGCACAATTGTACCCTTAAGTGTAACAAATATGAAATTGACTTAAGGCTTATTTTTTTAGCTTATTTTATAATAATAATAATAATTATTATTATTATTATAACACTACCACCACATATCATGATTTATTATCAGTATTTTAAGTGATGCTTTTAGGTAGTCATGATGACTAAGTATCACTCACAGTATAATTTAAAATATGTCGGTAAATTATTCATGTTTCTTGAACAAAGAGAATTTTCTTGACACTTGACAATTGTAGTGATTTAGTATAATTCACGATATGTCCATCAATAATATGTTAAATATTCATGATGATTTAATATTACTCATGAAAAAATTTTGAAAGCTAAAGGGATTAATATTTTTATTTTAATATATAATTTATTTGTTTATTTATTCCCAAGATGATGGTAAAATAAAAAGAAGAAAGAGAAACAAATTAAACCACTCTTGCATCACCTGTGAATTCACGAGCACTAAGTCAATTGTCATTGATATATAAACATGCTAGCGCATCAACCAAATTCCGATTTCAGTTTTCATTTTTCTTATTTCACACAAAGTAAATATAATAATTTAGGGTCGAAACACACATTCATTTCATTCATCAAAGAAATAAAAATATAATGTGTTCCATGAATCTATGCAACCTAATTGCTCAATTTTGAGTCAAGCATGATTATGGAATATGGATCAACCAACGCGTGCTAATTCAACTAAGAGCACAATCGTGCATCATTGATTGGAGACACAATAAGAATATAATTCATGCACCATGATTAGAAGCAAATCAAAATAGTGAATGTGTGATAGAGAGAAAAACTTATAGAGTAACGTACCACAAGGATTTATGTCCATCTCCTAGCTCTCTTAGGCCTCGTTTGGTATGATAAAAGAGTTTTTGATAGAATCAGAATCGGAATTGGAATTGAAATCGAAATCGAAATCGAAATCGAATTGAGTTTTAAAAGTGTGTTTGGTATGAAGATTGAATCATGATATAATTTTAATAAGTATGTGTATTTAAAATATAAAAAATCAAAATACCCTTTATTTTATTTTTTTAATGGAAAACTTAACAAAAAAATAAAGAATGTACTTTTAAAGCTCAAAATACCTTTTATTTTATTTTTTTTAATGACATATAAGCCAATTCTATGTTGAGTTGGTGGATTTCATGGTCTCTACAATGGAATTAGATTCCATCAATTTTGATGGAATCATATTCCTTCAAGAAAGCAATTCTAATATACCAAACAAGTCAAATGAAGAATTCCATGTCCAATTCCATTTCCCTTTTCACAATTCTGATGTACTAAACATGGCCTTAATTCTTCTCTCCCTCTCCATTTATGTCTCCTCAATTTTCTGCCTCTTTCTTTTATTGACACCAACTCGGGTTTTCCTCTTAGTAATAGAATCAGTCATATCAAATCAAATTTTATTTTGGCTTTTTCTCCATTATTTCAGATTTTTTAAGTTTACATTAAAGGCATTTTATTTGATAGAAACAAAATTGAGGGAATTTGGGAGTCAATAAAAAAGAGAAAAAATTCTTTTAAAGTTATGAAGATATTATTTTATTTTTTAGTTGTCTTTTTATAAAACCTATTTTTCTTTTTTACTTTATTTATTTAATTTTATTAGTTTTTTATTTATTTTCAATTTACATTTGTAAACTCGGATAAAATACAATATTCACACTAACTATCTTTTTGCTGGTTAAGAGGATGTGGGTTTAAACCTCTTTGGTCACATTAAAAAAAATTTAATTTGTCTCCCTTGCCCTCCGATGCTGGAGCTCTTATGGCCAATCTAGGGGGTGGTTTAACTGCCTGTGGTAGTGAAGATTTTTTTTTTTTTAAGGAGGGATAATTTTATCCTTTCATACTAAAATTTAATTACAATTTTGTCATTTGCAGAAAATAAAATATTCCAGAAGTCTTTCACTGTGATTTTCCCTTTCCACTTGCACTTACAAAAATTCAACCACTCTACAAACAGGCATGACTCTCGCGCCACTCTACAAACGGGCATGACTTTTGCACGCATGGAAAGAGTGGTGTCCTCCATAGTTGAATTAGACATATTTTATTGTTAATGTGTCGATCATTGATTTTGGGAAAATTTTTTTAAGGGGGTAAAAACGAACATTAGATAAATTCCGAACTAAAGTAAACATTTAATTTTTTATATTTATACAATATTTTATTTTAATTTTTTAATTTTAAAAATATTTTTTTAATCATTTAAATCTAATATTATTAGTTTCATTCACAAAAAATTTTTACATTTAACTTTTAAATATTTAGACAAAACATTTTTAAATGTAAACATATCAAATTTATTTTTTTAAAATAATAATAATTAATATAAAAAATAATCATTCGAAATCGACGATATAAGGTAAAGGGGCTGAAATTATGCTTCATAAAATTATGAAAACAGATTGAAAATTAACAATATACTTGAGCCTAGAATCTTTGGTTCGAGGAAAAGAGAGGAGAAATTTTACCCTCCAATTTTTCAAGCTAAATAAGGGAAGGGGGTTAAATCCCTCCCTTTCCCTCCAACAAAACACTTCTTTATTGATTTTGTTTAGTGAAATGATAATGGGTTAAAGTATATATTTAATTTTTTAATTTTACACAAGATTTTATTTTAGTTTCATAATTTTATAAAGTATCTTTTTAGTTCTATAACTTTAATATTACTAGTTTCATCCTAACAGATTCTTACATTGAACTTTCAAATATTGACAAAATATTCTTAAATATTGATATATTGAGTTTAATTTTTTTTAAATAACTATGATTGACATAAAAGACAATTATTTGAAATTAACAATATACTTGAGCCTAGAATCTTTGGTTCGAGGGAAAGAGAGGAGAAATTTTACCCTCTAATTTTTCCAGCTAAATAAGGGAAGGGGGTTAAATCCCTCCCTTTCCCTCCAACAAAACACTTCTTTATTGATTTTGTTTAGTGAAATGATAATGGGTTAAAGTATATATTTAATTTTTTAATTTTACACAAGATTTTATTTTAGTTTCATAATTGTATAAAGTATCTTTTTAGTTCTATAACTTTAATATTACTAGTTTCATCCTAACAGATTCTTACATTGAACTTTCAAATATTGACAAAACATTCTTAAATATTGATATATTGAGTTTAATTTTTTTTAAATAACTATGATTGACATAAAAGACAATTATTTGAAATTAACAATATACTTGAGCCTAGAATCTTTGGTTCGAGGGAAAGAGAGGAAAAATTTTACCCTCTAATTTTTCCAGCTAAATAAGGGAAGGGGGTTAAATCCCTCCCTTTCCCTCCAACAAAACACTTCTTTATTGATTTTGTTTGTGAAATGATAATGGGTTAAAGTATATATTTAATTTTTTAATTTTACACAAGATTTTATTTTAGTTTCATAACTTTATAAAGAATCTTTTTAGTTCTATAACTTTAATATCACTAGTTTTATCCTAACAGATTCTTACATTGAACTTTCAAATATTGACAAAACATTCTTAAATATTGATATATTAAGTTTAATTTTTTTTAAATAACTATGATTGACATAAAAGACAATTATTTGAAATTAACTATGCCAAGGTCAAAGAACTAAAAAAATTTATAAAATTAAGGAATTAAATTAAAATATTATAAAAGTATATTTTAGTCAATAATAATATAATGAGAAAAGTTGGATTCCATTGTTAACTGCTCTGGTTAGAAGAAGGCTAGATTGGGCGATTGGCACATGGTTTCATGCCTTTCTGAAAAATAAATCAATAAAACAAATTAAAAATCCAACGAAACCGCCATTGCTGGTTGCTCCATTGCTGCTTGTTATTTCCTATGCCATCTGCTCTCTTCACTGTTGCTTGTGCTTGGCTTGATTCATTCTTTGCTATCATTGTTCATCATCAACACTCTCACAGTTTGACCTTGAGCTTCTCTTAAGAGTCTCATTCTTGCTGCCATTTGAAGCTCACATCCTCACAAGGTTATACCCAATCTCTTGCGGTTGCTCAACATCTCAACACTGAATCTTTAGTGTCTGCGATTTTGGTAATTACTTCTATTCTTTGCCTCAATCTCTTAACATTGAATCCTCATAATTAGATCAATGAGGTAGTTTAGAAAATGAGAGGACCTTAATTTTAGGAATTAGAAATTATGTTCAGAAGTTCCGTTTTCTCTCTCGATGTCACATTGATGTTCAACCTTGTTTTCTTGGTTTCACTTCTTTCTCTGATTCTTCGCTTTTCCTTCTAATCTCCTCATGGGTCGTATCTGTGAGTTTGGCACGAATTTGAAGTCTGTTTAACCAAGAAAGCTTCAAAGCTTTTAGGCTTGTCAATGGAGTTATCTCCCAAACCAACTGACTAAGGATATTTGCTTCCTTCTTGCTTCTAGGAAGTCCCACTAAAATTTCTGTGTGTTTGTTATCTTTTCCTGGAGCTGTCTAGTTTTTGTTATTTGGATAACCAGATTTCTCCTTCTACAAATTTTGAGCAATAAATTCATTTTTCACTAAAAGCACTCCTAGAGTTCTGATTTTTTTAATTTGAATTTATTAAATTTATTAAGTTGTTATATGAATAAGATTTTATGTAAATAATATGTAGGCTTTAAACAGCCTATTTAAATTTGATTTTCTTAAAGAAAAATATATTTTTAAGTTCTTACTATTTTACTCAATTCTAAATTAAGTTTTTATAATTTATTTTGTTTTAATAAGTTCAAATTATTGTAGTTTAATTTATTATATATGTTAAATTTAAAAGTTAAAAACTTAAACTTAATAATAAATAAATAAATTTTGTAAAACAAAAATATTTTTTAAATCTATAGAAAATTTAATTCAATATATTTAACTAAAATTAAAAAAATTGATTTAATATCTTTTTTACAATTTTATTAATTTTTATGAAAATTTTATATATAAAAAATATTTGAAAAAAATCTAATTATATAAATTTTGAATTATAAAAATTATATAATTACTTTTAAATCGTACAATCAAATAAAAATATAAAAATTTTAAATTTTATTTTTTAAAAAAAATTAAGGATTTTAATTTTAAAAATTAAAAATTTAATTTATTTAATTATAAAATTTTAATTAAAATAAAGAAAATGTTTAATTTAAAATTGAGCAACACTGAATATGTATTTTCTTTTGTTTTTGTTTTTGTTTTTGTTTTTTTAAATTAGCCGCCTGTTCCCATCCCCAGCGAGGCAGTAGGTCCATTTCCTAAGAAGCACTCCACACTTGGCTGAGCTCGCTGTTGGACGCCGTCCACCGTTGTCAACCTGCGTCCGGCAAGCATTGAAGAAGGTTCGAACCCTAGGGCTATGTGTTATCACGAAATCCAGTGGGATTGATTTGTTCAATGTGGATTTGAGTCTAGATTTGAATTCGTTCCCTGCGTCATCTGTTCCCTGTCCGGTTTTCAACCCTGTATGGAACGCTGTTTCAATTTAATTTGGCTTTAAATATGGTCCTGTAGTGATGTAATCGTTTGAATATTGACGTTCTTGAATCTGGCAATATTTACAGATTGAGTTTAAATTTTTCTAACTTTGATTACTAGTTTTTCTTGAAGGGTGTGTAATTGGCCATTATCCTTCTGCACTCTTTATTTTGATTACTATGCTTTGGATTGTGTTATCGTGCAATGTTGGATTTGTTTCGTGTTGGCATTCTGTTGATTAATCTCTTTATATTATCACCGATTTAGAAAATTCTCAAGGTATTTGTGATGTTAATCTGGCAATTGACTTGGCTCTATTTGCGTCCGGTAATTTAAAAGCTTGAGTTAAAATCATTTCCTGCGGCTCGTTGGTCTGTGAATTTAGAAGCTATTGACAGAAAAGAATCAACTATGCACCTTACTCTAGGAAACACTTTTTGTGATCATAAATTGCAAGATGAAATTGGAAGATAATAAATTGTTGGAGTCATAATCATTGTCATTCTTCAGTGGCTTAGGGCAGTTGCCAGAATCAATTGGCCTACTAAGGTATCTTAGTTAAAGTATCTGGAACAAAAATTAAAAGGACATGATATCAATTATGCATATTTTGAAGATTTCAGTGGGGGCATTTTCCCCAGAGTGTAATATAGGTCTGCCGGTGATGATATATATGATGCCATATGATAAAGTTAAAGAAAATGGTAGAGTTTTTCTTTAGGTTCAGATTAGTTATGTATAGAGACAAGAATTTGTGTGGCCATTATTACTATTTGAAGTTTTCTGATTTAGAAGAAATTTGGAACATGGCTGGAGAATGTGGGTGTGATGTTGAAAAAAATTCCTGAAATCTATTGCTTCCTTATGAGTTGAGTTATGTTGACAAGCTTAGGACTTTGGTTCAATGCCCATCCACAACACACAAGCAAGTGATAAAGAAGGTGCTCTTTGGTTCTAATTAGATGGTATTGGGTATATTCTGTTGGCCACAACTATGTTTTGTTATGTGCTCAAAATGTGGCTTTTGGAATTTGATGATGTTACTTTTGTTGATATGCTGAAAATGTGGCTAGACTAGCTTTGTTTGCTATGCTTAACAAAAGATCTATTTTGACAAGTAGAACATTTGACAAGCTTATTTGTATGGTGACTTAGCAATTTCCTATATATATGTATATATTTGCATCCTAATATATCATCATTATTTGATGTTGAGAAATGAAACCAAGGGAATTTACAATAAAAGAAAATTAAGGGAGTTTTATGATCTTTTCATAACAATGCCATCAACAAATTATATTGTCATCAACATGTTGGAATTTGAGAGAAAAAATAATTCATGCAATTTGGAAGGTGCAAATTTAATTTATACGAAGGGGGGGAGGGAGCCTAACATGTAAAGGAATAATGATAAATTAGTTATTACCTCCCCTCTCCTCCCCTCCCCTCCCCTCCCCTTTGTTTCAATCTTTGATTTCAATCTTCACCTCTTTCTGTCTAAATATTCTTACATTCCATTCTTTACCTTCAAATCTCTGATTTCATTGAGATTTTTTTTTTTTCATTTACTTCAATCTAAGTATATTACTCTTATTTCTAGTGGCACAAAATACATATTTATGATACTCCTGTCTTTTCTTTTAGCCTTTTAGGCATATACATTGTATCTTGAGGACAGTGCTTGGGTTCTTGGAGCAAAAGAATGGCTTTGTTTGTTTCCTCCGATTGTTTCATTCCTGTCAATCAACCTCGGCTTAGATTTCTGCCACATTATGGCCCCAATCAGTCTTGCGATAGTTGTACCAAGCTGCATTTGTGCAAGGGACCTCAAAGACCTAGTCATCTTTCATTTTCACGTTGTACACGAGGTAGCATCTCTTTATACTAGTACCATCTGTAATGATTGATGATAGCCCTAAAAGGATCTGATTTCAGTGGAATAAGTTTGTTATAACTTGTGATAATGGTAAAGAATTAAAATTTTGAGGATGCTTCTCCTCCTTTCGTGTTCATTTCTTTTTATTGTATCTGAGCATTATCAGGACCTTAACATATTCATGGGTTTCCTTTATTAGCGTCAGAAATTGTGCCACTTGTTGCTGCTCAAAGAAAGGGTCGATCATCTCTTTTACAGACTGCTGCTGTACGTCATTTGACTGGTTCAGTGACGAAAACCCAAGGACTGCGTTTTGCTGTGGTCAGTTTACCAAATATTACAGCTAAACAAACTTAATTCATTCTTATACTCATCAGTTAATCATAATATTTTGATGTTTCTGTTTTATTTAATCTATTAGTTAGAATGTTTCCAGTATGCATTCGGGTACATTTGGCTCTCAAATCCAGTATATATGAAATTATTAAAGGGAACTCTGTTTTGGTAACTTTTTAATTGGCATCAATCCTGGTAACCCTTGCAATTGTAACCTCATACATAAATTTCTACTTTATATGAGGTTTATTGCTTATATCATTGTGACTGTTGTAATAAAATTTTGAGGAAGTTCGCATATCTTCAAAAAATCTGCATTCTCATTTCGATTTCAAACTGAATGGAAGTTATAATGATTTTCTTTTTGATCATTTTACTGTTCTGATCTATAGTCTCTCATCATTAAGGTTGTTGCACGGTTTAATGAAATTGTCACTAAGCATCTCTTGGAGGGAGCTCTGAATACTTTCAAGAATTATTCTGTTGAAGACGAGGATATTGATGTACGTATGGATTTTGGAATAACATTAATTTGTAATTTGCAATGTTGATTTATTCCCCACCACCCCCCATTTTTTTTCATTTTCTTGGTAGTCTATTGTCTTGATATTCATTTTTTTTTTTTCATTTTCTTGGTAGTCTATTGTCTTGATATTCATCCTGTTCTTGTCTTGTCAGATTGGGTTGACACTTCTTACCTTGTTTTCCATTTCTGTTCCTCCACCATTTGCTTTTCTTTTGGATTGATGCTTATGTTTCCTAACCTGGAGCTATATTCAGAAAATAATGGCTTATTTCTTATTTGTAACTGATGCAATCTCTCTCTCTCTCTCTCTATCTATCTATCTATCTATCATATATTTTTTCCCCTTTAAATATCTACTTGACAACACCTATCTAACATTATCTACTTTTTTTAGTTTGTTGTGTTAGTGAGAAGATTGTCCAACTGTCACTTTGTTTCCAAACAAATATGTTATCTCCCATTATTTTCATTGGCACCAAGAGTCAAATTATCTATGAGGCAAGGTAGACGTATGTGCAATCACATATTATTTCCACTTTCTGAATCCTAGAATTGTCGGTATTATGTAGATCAGCACATATATATAATTTAATATAATGTCTCTTATGTGCATACATGTTAATGGTCATCCTTTTAAGTTAACTTTGCTTGTTTTATTGCTTATACTTTTGTAGTATTTGAAAGCGATTTACTTTTCCTTCTACCTCAGGTTGTATGGGTTCCTGGTAGTTTTGAGATTGGTGTTGTTGCAGAAAGACTGGGTAAATCACACAAATATAATGCAATCGTGTGCATAGGAGCTGTGGTATGGTGGTAACTAGTTGAATGTTTTGAATGGACAAATTATTCTATATCCTTGGCTGTATATGTTATTGATTAAATTCTTGTTACTTTTGCAACCATTGGTTATTGGAAACAGATAAGAGGTGATACTACCCACTATGATGCAGTTGCAAATTCAGCAGCATCTGGTGTGCTTTCAGCTGGTCTAAATTCAGGTATATTTTATTTTATTTATTTACTGTATGAGTCCTTATAATATGTTCATACAGTAACAAAAAATTCATGCTTAAGCCTAACCCAACCAAATGAATTTTATTTTACTTTTCCTTATTTGCAAAGTAACTCTCACCAACTAGCAATATTTTTATGCAGACCTTTAGGAGTAACTCATCGAATTGCTTCTAGATCTAAAACAAAATAGATGAGATTTGTCCCTATTGCTGCCCGTAACTATTTTTGTTTTGTTTTTTTTTTTTGTAACTTGGAAAATAAATAAGCCATTGCAATTACCAGAAATACTAGGCCTATATTAAAGGCACAAAAATAGAGGGCAACTGCTTGTGTTTTCCTAATAATTGGTTGTGATATTAACTTTCAGTGTGCTAGTTAATAACATTTTGATTTGAATTAGGTTTTGTTTTCACCTTTTAAATTTAGATGACAATCACAAATATATTTAGTGCCCCTTTGGTTGTTGAAAGGAAATAGAATGGAATGAATTGATAGAGAATAAAATAGTAAGGTCATGAATTTATAGAGAGGTGGAAATGATAGAGAGGAGAAAACCATGGAGTGATCGAGAGGTGGGAATGGGGATTTACATGAATAAGATCATCAATCGATCCCCATTCCCACCTCTCTCCACATCTCTATTATTCCATGACCTTATTTTAGTTCACTTTATTTTTTTATCAACCCATTTCATTTCAACAACCAAATGGGCCCCTAATATAGATCAATTTCTTTGTTTTCTGATCAATTTCATTTCCCCTTTTTGGGGATCAATGAGCTGGTTGTATCTATTTAATTTCTGATTCAAGATGAATAGAAAACTCAAGGCATTGTGTTGTTTAATTAACACCATAAGTCTGATTATATCAAAATCACACAAATACACGTCAACATGAGTATGGAGACATGCCTTTAAAGAGTAGAGTCATATCAGAAAAAGAAACCTCTGATAGAGAATGGAAATATATTTGATACATCTTTAAAATATTGAGGAGAATACAGAGAGTTTTCTTTTCTGAGCCAAATTAACATTATTAATAAGTTAATAAAATGAAGCAATTGTACATTACATTTTGCCACCGAACATAAAATAGGAGGATACATAAAGGAAGAAATTGCAGAGAAATATTTTAGTAACAGCTTCGATTTTGCCACCAAATCAGAATACAATCCCATACATAGGAAAGAAAACCAGAAGATGTTCTCTGGCACGACTTGAGGTTGCCAAACACTTGAAAGAAAGAAGTCATGCTTGAGTTTGGATTAAGTGACTGAATTCAAAAGACACTTTTTGCCTTTCGGATTTAATGGTTTTTGGGATCTCAATTAGTAAATGGACCATGACCTTGATATAAAGTCCAATTAATGAACGGTTTGAAATATTGGAAATTAGACGGGTAGGGCTTTGATTTGATGTATTAAAAACATAATTTGGATAATTTAGTCCCTTCAATTGCTGATTGAAACTTGAAACCTAGCCATAACATTTCAGGTCACCCATAAAATTGAATTCTGAAAATTAAGATTTTTCCCTGTGAATTACATTATTTCTAATAATTATGAATTATTTATTAGGAAAATTAATTTCAACATCATATGAAAATAGGGAAAATATTAGATAAAATTACTGAATAAGTGCATAAAATGTCATGAAAAAAATATAAAAAAAAATTATGACTTATCAAATACCTCCCTCATCCTCTCCAAAATTTCACTGCCTTGTCCCTTATTCAGTCCTCGGCTACCAACCTGTAACCTTATGCTTCCTCTCTCACACCTTAACAACAGTCTTCATTCTATCATTGTCAACTCTGTGATTTACCATGTCGTCATTCATCAATTGCCATCAAGATTAGAAATTGGAGCATTTATGAGATGACTTTGCAGGAGTTCCTTGCATTTTTGGTGTCCTAACCTGTGACGATATGGATCAAGTAAGTTTTATACTCAATCATTTGCTTTTTGATTTTTTTAAATTCTTTTTGTTGTTAAATAGGATTATGATTGTTAAGCTGTCTGTTTGTTTGCTTTCTGCTAATTCCAGGCTCTAAATCGAGCTGGTGGTAAATCTGGAAATAAGGGTGCAGAGGCTGCATTGACAGCTGTAAGTTGATACGATATTATCCAACAATCTTTTGTGAGGTTATATGAATCCTCTGTCTCTTAATTTGCTTATTCATTTACATAACCTAGTTATGACACCTGTGCAAGTGTGATTTGAGAAGGGATTGGTGAGAAGTGATACTCACTCTCCGCAGAAGTTTAAATTTTTTCCGGATTCATCATAAAATATACTCACTTCTCAGTCCTCACATCATCCCATCCTTCTTTTATTATCATGGTACAATCTGACTCGACAAAAAACAGGAAAGAGTTTTATTCTTAGCAGTCGTCATTCAAGTGATTGAAAGTTGAGTTACTCTACCCTCTCTGTTATGATGATATTTGGTAGCAAGAAATGTGGTTACTTTTGTTGAGTCCAGTTGACAACTGTCGAGTCTGTATTGTCACATGCCGTTTCTGCATTTCTCGATGCATTTAAAAGTTAATATATTGTTTTTCTTTATGATTATTCATGGATTAAGGTACAAAATTACCTAGAAACTTTTTCTCCAAGAACTTCTAGCATTCTTAAGTCAACAATGGTGCATTGGTTCTCATTAATTTTATAAAAGAGGTCTATCTTCTCCAATCTGTTAAGTTCCAACCTTAGAAGTTAACGGTCAACATTCGGCTATTTTAGTAGATTTGAAAAAGTTGACTTTTTTTTATAGAGTTAAGGGTACTTATATATTATTGTTGACTTGAGGATATAAGAAACTTCTAGAGAAAAGTTTTTAGATTTTTCTGTACCTTGACCTCTTTATATTTTGTGGGATGATGGTTTTAATTTATATGTGTGCTACAGATTGAAATGGCTTCTTTGTTCGAGCACCATTTGAAGTAAGTGCTTGCACCATCCACGCAACAAGGTCAAAGAGTTTCTCCAGTTCAGGGTTGCTGGACAAAATATCTTTGAGTTCATTGATTATTGTTGTAATAATAAAAGAAACCATTTGGGCACAGTCGTGGAGTAGTGAGGAATGAGATCCCGTTCACTATTTTCAGGGACGTAGTGTTTGCGCATGAGAGCCCTGTAGAATATTTTCCGGAATAGTTTTTGTTATTTATTTTGAACCAAACTTCGTTTTTTTTTTTTGTTTGTGGATTGTTTTGTTATATCGTTCCTTTAATGTTAAAATTGAAGGAATTTGATTAATGAAGGGTCATGCTTCAACTTGTATTATGGTACATTTTACTTTGATATATCATCACGATGCTCTGTTTTGGTGTTTAGAAATTTATAAATAATTTGCCTTCTCAGGTCATCTGTCTTGAGACGTTCCACAGAGCTATTGCCTTGAGTGTGCCTTTTATTAGCATACGATTTTACGGGTGTGGTGAATTTGGAGTAATCGTTTTTTTTTTTTTTTTTATAATCGTTGATAGCTTCCTTCACCTGAAACATGACCAAATTCATAATTACTCATTAGGTTTTATTTATAAAGTAGAGAGTGTTTTCTTTAATCTATTTATAAAGTATATCAATCATTATTATATTTATTTTTACCATTCTGTTCCTATTAAAGTTGGGAAGTTAATCAAATGTTTGAACATTTTATTTTTAAAGTAGGTATACTTGATATGAATAAAATTGAAAACTTGTTTAATTTCTAAATAGAGTTAATAAATTTAAGGTTTTTATTGTTTTTGTTAAAAATATTGAAAGTGATTTATAAATATAATTAAAAGAAATATATTTTACTAGTCATTGACTGTTTCTTTATTATTTTATTTGTTTTTTTTTTTTGGGTTTTTGTCTTTCATTGCTTGATTGAGGGCGTGTTTGGTACATTACATAAAGTATTTATTAAAAAGACAAAATGTGAACACTACATAAACGTTTAGCTCGAAAAAAATGTTTAGAGTGGAAGTGAAGAAAAAACAAAATGTGAACACTACATAAACGTTTAGGTCGAAAAAAATGTTTAGAGTGGAAATGAAGAATGTGTGCGTGTGTAAGTGAGACAGGTGTATTTATTATTTCTTTGGGAGATTTTAACTAAGGGTATGGGAAAAGAAATATTTATTATTGGGTTCCAAAAAAAATAATCTGAATTCTCTGCAAGAATTTCAAAACTAAACTAAAAAAAAATGAGTGGTTAAAAAACCAAATGCCCTTATGCAAAATTAACAAGTACTTGATTATTACCTAACTTTACTTGTTAACTGCTTACTTGTACTTATTAATTCCTTACAATTATGTTAATTGTTAATTAGTTAATTTCATGACTTATCTTAAGAACATTACTTGTTAATTTCATAACTTCATTTGTTAATTTGTCAACATAACTTGTTAATTATTTAATTGACTTGTGAATCCTTTATAAGACTAGCTCACTCAATTTGACCAAAAAGCACTATCATTAGTTGTTAATTTTTTTTACTTCACTTGTTAATTATAAATATCAATTGTAAATTATCTGACTTCACTTATCAATAATCATATTAATATCAATGTTAATTATTTAACCTTGTTAAGTTATCAATATCAATTGTAAATTATTATAACTTGTAATCATCATATGAGTTCAATCATTTTGTCCTAAATACAAATCATCAGTTGTTGATTCTTTAACTTG